CGAGACCAGACAAGTATTTTCGGGTCAAGTTCATTATTCGTTTGAATAGACTGAGTGCATACGAAGGGGGTCACTTTTGTTACTTTTGTAGTACCTCAGTGGCAGTTGAAACCCTATAACATAAGATCAAGGTCACGATACTCAGCTATTCGACGTGGTAAAATTGTGCTTTGCAAAAATTAGGGGTTATGTTTTTTATAGCGTAAAGGTCTCTGTTATGATTTTCGAAAAATACACACTAACTACTGCATTTAGCGTAATTATTATTAAAACATGGAAACCTGATAAACTAAAGCAAATCTCGTGTACTTCATCAAGATTCTTATAAGACTTTATCTGTTCTTTATAAAGCTCAAAACATATGACTCAAAATAGAGTTTTGTTTCTCTTACCTTTATATGACCTTTATATCCTTTTATTATAAGCCTTTAGTAAGTATGAACGTGGTTAACAAGTCCTTGATGTGAAAGATCGTCATCAAATTATCGCCGACTAAAGCATCATAATCTGTAAATCCAAGGTCGACGAGACATAAAAAACGGCAAGTGATTTATTTCAGTAAACGACGAACGCCCACAGATAAGAAGGCAGTGACATGTGTCAGTGTTTTTTAACCCCATAAAAACCATTGGTTCCAGGGTTGCCAGACTATGTACAGTCAGAGCACATTAAGCTATTGACCATGTACGTGAATTTAAAAACATGTACCATGTTTCCGATACATAGTTTTCGTACCCAAAAGTATTACAATTTTAAGATTTCAATGTTTCATCTGCACATTTTTTAACTTACTATAACAACATCATCACAGTGTTTTCAAATAGAAATCAGTGTTGCTTCAATGGTAAACCAACCGACGAAATCGAGTCCAATGACATCGACAGTAACATACAAGAAACAACAACAGCAGGTAATCGGGCAGCACTGATTTATTAGCTCACAGATTTTTCCTTTTTAATTAAAAAAAAGTGCGCATAGTGATAGAGACTTGGACGATGATCCTTCTGTTACTTAAAATCAAATACTTCAAATTCATTGATTCCTTAAAGTGGTACGCATATTCTACAAGTGGCAATCCTGTCTTTAACACTTTCTTTAACGTAAGGGTGCTGGTGAAGTTATAGGCACGCGAGACTTCTCAGTGCCCCTCAGATCTTTGCGATCTACAGATAGCTCTGTGTGGCACTGCAACTATTATGGACAGGCGTGTAGCTTACCATCAGACGCACGACTTCTTCGTGCCGTCACTGGATATTACAAAAAAGGATGTTTTCAATTCGACAGTTTTTTTTTGTGTGTATGCTACGCAATTACTTCGACATTTGTGAATCGATTTCGTTGATTTCTTTCTTTGTTAATAGTCCCATTAAAATTTCAAGATAATACCTCTTCTACTTCATCACCTTGTCGTTGCTGAGGATCGTGACTCCACTTCATCCTACTAACTATCTGTATCCATCGGCTGCGCTCAGTCGCCTGGTGTAGTGCAGCGTTAACAGGTAACTCCAGTTGTTCGGAGATCCGCATGTCGATAACCTTACGATAACTCTGTTGTCGACCGATTCGATTAGATATCGTACGAGTTCTTGTCATTTTTATTCACAATAACCGAATCCAACGTCAAACGTCGACGACGTCCCGTACGAATACTCGTACTTCTCGACCGGCAAAGGCTACAAACGTTATTCAGAACGCAGTTATCGAATAAAAGTTACCGAACGTCCTATCATTTACAAAGCAAGAATGTAATATGAAAATCTTTTATTATTTTAAATAAAATCTGGATTTTGTTCAATTTTATTAAATTATTTTTATGCGAGACTAATGCATTCCTATATTTTAGGTCTTTAAAGTCTTTAAAAATGTATATAAAAGGATTTCATTTTTCTTATAATCTATATTCGCCGACTAACTCCATAAACGTTGTTGGAGAACGATATCGTATCCGAATCGAATGTTCTGAATAGGTCGGAAAGCACCCTTCGCTTCGAGAACGGTATCCAGCCGAACGATTCAGTTAAGATATCGAAGAGTTCTGGATAGGGGTCCTGATCCGGCCACCGCTTGGGACTCCTGCCTCTAGGTCTCTTTCTTTCCGTCCTCCCTGTCACCATCAAACACCTGTGACCAAAATAGCGTTCCATGCAGATTGAAGACAGACGCTGTGCATTCTCTATTTTGAGTTCCTCGTGTATGGAGACTTTGGTGCAACGGGCTGTCCACGGTATTGTTAACATTCGGCGCCAGCACCACCTCTAAGGGTGGCAAATTTGGAGATGAATCCCGTTTATTAATAGTCACCCACTTTCCTTTAGCCTATCTCAATAAAAATTGACAAATAAATGTAATTATAATTCCACAAATTTTGAGATCGATTTTTTCTTTTAAAAAAGTTACAATTATTGTTTTGTCGGCTTTCTTGCCACCTGTGAGAAATCTATGAAAGGATTAGTCTTCTGTGAGAAATCTATGAAAGGATTAGTCTTCTGTGAGAAATCTATGAAAGGATTAGTTAAGATCCCTTAGTCTTGTTTGTTCGATCTTTGTATTCATAATAATAACAAACTAGAGGAGTATATTTCCAAAAAAATATGATAGATGATACTTAATACACACATCATGATATTCAATATAAATATATTCCAAGGTTATGTATGTGTTGTTTGCCAGCGTTTCTGACATGAGGGTTACTTAGCCCGTCGCCCGCTTCTCACACACTAAGCACGTGACACGATCAGGCATCAACTTTTACAGCTTTTAAAGCAAAACCCAACCAATTATCTTATCAAATTCCTGTCTAGACATAAAGATAAAGTTTTAACATATTGATATCAAATATTCTATAGCTGGCAACTCCATAACTCACATAATACATTCAAACATAATATACACCTGTATTTCACCACCTAAGGGGTTCGGTATCCCGGCAACACAGGTCGATACGAGCCAAAAGGGTGGCTATGTAAAGAAGGGGACAGACGCGTGAGGAGGGTTGTATTGTGACCCTTATTAGAGATAAATAAGTACGTAGGTACGTAACCCTTTTAGTGTATTAATACATTCATAAAAATATTTCAGATAAAAGTACAGCCAAGACGACTAAAGGTGCAAAATATCAAGTATGGCCAAGTTTAGCGTTTCATTTAATATTGTTAAACATTTAATTGTCTTGTATGTTTCAAATAACTAAAACTAATATAACAAAAAGTTTAAATTCTTAAACTAAAATATGACTTGGGCACAGATAAGTTACTATTGCCGTTTGTATGGTTTTGTTTTGTTTGTTTTATTCTTTAAACTAGTTATGTGATTAATTTTACTCTTCTGTTTTTATGTGGCAAAAATTATCGATATTGTTTCCCACACATCAAAATTAATGACGGATAACAACTCCTGTTATTTAATACTATCTTTTAATCTCAGCAATAAATAACCTACGGCATAGGCCATTTCTATTTTATTAGTAAAAAGTATTACTTTATGACTGGCAAGATAAAACACTGTACAAGATAAACATTTTAAGTCATGTAAACATATTTATTTTACGTTGTATCACTTCTAACTAAGGCGAATAGGTTTTTTATCGTCGCTATACGACATAAAATTTATAATGACACGTTTAAATTAGAATTAAAATAGAAAACAGTGACACGGTTTTTGTTAAAGTAGCAAAACAGTTGTTGAATAAATAAAAGGCTATCGACATATGCGCAGCAGTACCGAATTTATTCATTGGCGAATATATTTGATTTCAAACAGCAGTCATAAATATTTGATATTTTTCTGCTATTGACTTCAACAGTTCGCAATATACAGTTCGATGTTTAAGATAAAAAATAAGTAAGTAAACAAAATATATGATGTAGTCAATAATCGCTTAGCGATGCGCGGCAGTGCGAACCGACGCAAGGCCAAGTTTATTTGTTTATGTATAATAGGAACATTAACAGAATGTGTATTGAAACATTTACATAAACTTAACAGATCTTGAACACAATTCTGACACAAACCAATTTTCAAATATGTACAACATTCATTGACACCATATTACTAAATAAATCTATGAGCTAAAAGACTACATTAAAGTAAATTAGATGAACAAACGATTAAAAATGTATGTACATAAACCAATGCTTGCAATCCAAAAGACGCTCTTAATACATTGGTATAAGCACTGGTTTATGTAGTTTATCAGCTAGTTTAAAAACATGAATTTGACAATATTGGTCTTATACTTCGCAAGGGGATAAAAAATATATCGAGAAGAGGTGAAAAGACTTTGCGTTCATTATGAGTGCAGCGAACACGAAAGTCAAAATAAAATATAAATAATATTCATTTCATACGTAAGCAAATTAGACTTGAAATCATCATATTGATTTAACTCTACTGCTCATTCGTAATACCCCTGGAAAGAATGTGCAAGGGGTTGCTCCTTGTAAGTAAACATTACACACATTAACATTTACAGTATTATAGACAACCTGCAAGAGCTAAGTGGGTCCCTACCACAAATTTTTGTTATCCAAATACGCAGAAACACAGTAGTTTAACAACATAGCTTCCGCATGGGACAAACGGGTGATGGGTTTCCGGGATAAGTTAGTAAAATAATTATCTTTTTTCTGGTGGTAAACGATACGCCTGTCCACAACAGTTGCAGTACCACTCAGAGCTTTAAATTTCAAAAGTCTGTGAGGCACTGCACTGCGCCCTTCACTCTGACCTCCACGTAAGTTGATTAAGTCCCACGTGCCTATAATTTCACCAGCACCTTTACTCTACAAAACCGGAATACTGCTTGGTAGCAGAAATAGGTAGGGTGGCAGTTCTTCTCTGGACGAACTCTTTCTTCTGCTACTATCTCCTCACTCTTTAAGGTGATCGATGTTTGTAGACAAAATCGGATCTAGTTGCGCGAAATTTCGCAACCGTATAAGTTTCGTATTAGCTTTAAAGGTTTTATCGTCAGTTTTAACTCAAAATTGAGTCCTACTTACGTTTCTCTTTCAAGTAGTTTGGCAGCTCACGATGACGTAATTACTTAACGGCCTGTAACAAAGGAAAGCTTTGTTAAAACAATGTACTCTCGCTTTGTATTATAATGAAAAACAATGATTAAGAATTCAACGGTACATAATGTTTTGTCTGCCAAAAAGTCAGCATATTTGCAAATTACTACTACTCTGTCTACAAATAATTGGATGTAACTAAAAACAAAGTAATTAGATTTTCTCGGTTGGAAATGTTTGCTTGTTACAATATTGTAGTTCAAGTCCAGCTGGATCGAAGGAATTATTCTTCTTGTTCGATCTTTGTAGTAATAACTGTTTAACGATAATCTCTCGAAGTCACCATTCATATGTACATATGTACCTTTCGGTATCTATAATGTCTATCTACATAAGTTCTTTAGAGAGACGGTCTTAAAGCACATGCAACTATCGATTACCTTAATAGTAGCGCTAAATTATTGTAAAAAATGCATTTAAAATGACTTCTTACTTCGTAGCTACATATTACATGTCATGTTTTTTACGACACACCTGAAGAACCATTCACGATATTTGGCATTAGTATAATACTACTTCTTGACTGTAGCCACGCATAAAACAATTAGTTAAAATAGTTCCAAGTCTTAAAATAATTCTAGACAGCCGTTTGGAAAGACTTTCAGGACGTCAGCGATCGCGTAACAATGGCGTGCCAATTCCTGAAATTGCTGTGAACCGGGGCAGATATGACATAGAATTAATCAAAGTACTTTTTAATTCTGGGAAAACAATTATTGAAATATAAATATATTGTCCGTATTGCTAGTTTCTTGTTGAGGCTCCCCAATTTCTGCATTTCTGCAGATGCAGCTGTGAATAATTCCTACGCAATCATACTCAAAATGTGCACTTCGTTAGTAGGAAGAGCGAGCAGTAGCAGCAACGAGATCCTGAAGATGACTAGCGGATAGAATGAATGGAGCTGTATTCCGGAGATTCACTGAGTTGCGAGTTCTATGTGTGAGCCTCCCGTGTGTCTAGGTTCATCCGAGTCTCGAAATTAGATGGGTTTCTGAGCGAGAAGATGAACCTGATTCCTACTATCTCTTTCAAATTTGTGAGTTAAAGCAACTATTGTTCCGATTAGAAATGTCAAAAGTTTCCGATCGGCCAGTTGTGAATCGCAATTATGCGCCTCGACTCGGAAAAGACGCAGTTTCCGATCGGGAGAGGCAATCAAAATCAAGCTGTAAATTTACTATAAGTAGTTAATTAATATATTGTTTGTAATTCGGCAGCCTGTAGAATGACTTTACTATAATAATGTAGTCTAAGAATAAATGATGTTTATATTTTTTATAGTATCCTTTTTTATTGCAAGGCTGTGAAAAGTCATAGCTTCTACGTTTATTGTTCCTCGATATATGAACTCCCGCGCAGCAACCACGGCCGACAAGATGGCCGCGGTGAAAGCGTTTGCGCCGTACCGTTCTCTCGCGAATCTTTGCACAACCTGCCGTAACTGCGGTTTAATGCGCGACCACATTTGCGATAGCTCGTTGAGAACGCTACCTGATGACCGACTTTGTTACATAAATGTTTGTTATTGAGGTTAGGTTAGTTTGTGAAAAGGACTAATTGGTGTGTTGAACTCTATGTATATCATTCATTCACTCGTCAATTATTCGTCGAGCTTTTAATGATGCACTTGACAAGTTGAACACATAAATTTCTTTGCTTTAAAAATTAAAAGCATGTTTTAAATCATGTCCGAAGGGGCGCGTTTAAAAATGATTTGAATAATGTCTCCAAAAAGAAACGATCGCCCACACCCAACTTGAATCAAACGACCGTGATCTGAAAAATCGAGGCCGTTGATTTCGCAACGGCAGCGGCGCCCGCGCATCCGGAAGTTGTGTTGCGCGTGCACGGTGCACCACGCTGTGTTACGTGCGAATTATGTGAAGTCTAACAAACTGACACTTCCTTTGTAACTCTTATTCAGTTTTTATACATTCTATCATTGTGATACTTTGATATAATAAACACAAAGTTCTCCGCTGCTGTCACAATGCACGTGATTTTTGCCTTCACGTGCTTCTATGTTATCGGTTTCACGATAAGTTTAGGGAGAGCATTCTATCTCAATAGCAAGTGATGCACGTTAGGGCGCGTTCATGCAACCGTAACCTTTTATTTATCGTTTGAAGACTGTCGTGTCCAGCCTGTTCCCATATCACGACCATCTGTCGTGATTGTGTCGGGACGTTTATTTTATCTTTATCTAACTGTTTCCACTAGATCGTGACGACAATTTATCGGTTCACGGCAGTCGCCTTGTCGTTTACGCGACAGAATCGTTTGAAGCTGCGATTATCTGTCGTCACATTTTTATCGTGACGTTTCATTTATCGTCAGACGACAGTCGTTCTAGCACTGCCCATTCACTCATTTCATCACGGCACTCTGTCGTCGTAACGTCAAAAAAGTCATGAACGACAGTTAATCGTGTTGTTCTATGTGTACAATCCACGACACTTTGATTTGCATACTATGTGTCGTCACGACATAATAGGAACGCACCCTAACGTTACATATAAACATAGATTAGGTATGACTTTACATGTTTATACATTTTATGCGTATTTTCAATACTTTAACTTTTATTTTATTCGCTTTTTTGTTTGTAATACCTTCTTAAAACCCATAAGTTTTGAATATTTTGACCATACAACTCATAAAAATCTTTGTTAACTGCAGGGTCGTCGTCGAAGTGAAAGGTATGTAGTTTTTACTACCTGCAGCAGACTGGGTAGCTGGAACCCTTTAAAATTAATTACAAACCGGTAACACGATTTCCTTGAAACATACACCGACGACGACGGACAAAATTTTGCTACAGACCAAATATATTATTAAATTATATCGGTAGGAATGTATTTGTCGTACCATTTTCAAATTTCGATGTTTTAAGTCTCTCTTTATTATACTGAGATATATAAAAACTGATAATAATAACGCCTGAAGACCTGTGGACCAAGGTAACGAAGGCGTGACTAACTAGACGCTTACGATACGGCTTGGCTCCAGTTAGCTCAGAATCGGGACCGACATGTCTCCCTTCTCGGGGAGGGTCTGTGCAGGGCGCGGCCAGCCTCTGGTGGGGACGCGGACGAGTGTAATAGCGTACCCGTACCTACAGCGGAAAGGAGGAACACTCCAGGGGTTTAGTGCGGTCGGGCTGCTCCCCTTCAGGGTTCAGCACAGTATCTGTAAGCAAATTCCCTCAAAAAGGATCGGGATGCGTGGAGGGATCAGAAGGAGAATTGTACTGAGTTAATAATATTTTTTTAGCAACAGAGCTTCTTGTGAAAAAGTTCCTCCAGGGAAGTCAACTCAAGCCACCTTACCTATTTCCTCTATCAATCATTACTGCCTTCCAGTTTTGAAGGTGACATTATAGGCACAAGGTACTTATTAACTTATGTCTCAGGATGACGGGCGCAGTGGCAGTGCCCCTCAGATCTTCGTTTTAAAGCTCTGATTGACACTGCAAATATTATAGACAGGCCTGTCGCTTACCATCCCCTAGTTTGGCACCATTAGAGGTGGAATATTTTCTTAAAATTTAAACAGGAGTACTTCTAAGGTAACTTTTTTCCAACAAAAAAATAATCATCAAAATCGGTTCTTAAACATACATATTAAAAAAAAACATACAGTAATTTTACCTCTTTTTGCTCCTCCTTTTTTTAAGTCGGTTAAAAAAAAGAATGATTATAGAAAATAAAAACCAATATTTTGAGTTTTCAAATTGACGATCGCATATTCAACGTAATCGGGCGGCATTTCACCACTTTCGTATTCAAAATCGATAGGAAATACTACTTAAAAGAAAAATAACATACGCAAAATTGGATCCATTGTAAAAAAAATGTTCAAAGGTTTCACAGTCACAAGTAAAATACAATATTGAATCCATTGGCACGAGGTGAAACCAGATTGAGAAACGAGCATCATAACATCGTTATAATAACCGGGCCCGTCCCCTGAGCACGTGTACCTACTCAGAATCAAAGGGGCTTTGTAGGGCAATCTCCCGCCAGTGAAATGTTCGCGTTCAATAATGATCCTGCCTTAGCAACAAGTTTCCAAAGAGTCGCAATTTACGGTCGCACCGACCTTCACAATTGTTTCTGCAAACATGCGCCGCCCGTCCTTAACCTTTGTGGAATTAATTGCTCACTCTGCACCACGAAAAATAAATCTCATTTCCGCATAAAGTTTTCAATGACCAACGGCCCGCCTTAAGAAAAATACTTTCTCCCGCTGCCCGTCAACAATATGACAAGTATCCGGTTACAAGGGCACGGAAGTGAACAAGACCAAGTTCTTTGTCGTTTGTTCGTTCTTCAAAATATTTTATATGTCATTTAATTCCAAACTATAAATAAAAGATTTCTATCTTGGCTTGGTACTTTATTCCAATAAAAATTTAACCAACTTCATTTTTTTTTGCTGGATATAACCTTGAAATAAAAAGCTTAGCAGAATAATAAAAATAAAATATCGTCACCGGCATTTTTATTGATTTAAAATAAAAGTGTGGTAGACATGTTTAAATAATTATCTGCAACACTGCGATACTAAAAAAGTCCAAAAAGCGACAACACTTAAACGGTAAATTAATCAAAAACTTTTTTCTTAATGAATGGCTTGTAAGACTACTTAGGGTGGCATTACAGAACTGTACTCAATGCTCAAGTCAGGATATGAGCAGACATGAATATAATTTCAAGCACTGGAAATACGACCCTAATGGCAAGGACTTGAGTATGATTTCTAGTGCTTTGAATTATACTCAAGTCCTGACTTGAGCATTGAGTAGAGTTCTAGAATACGACCCTTAGTCTCAATTCTGCCAGTGTCCGTTTTCTAGTTTCATAAACGTCATGGAGGTTTGTTATCTAGATTGTACTTAAAGGCTTAGAATAATAACGCATAGGAACCTAGTCCGCACACGCTAAGTGAGGCAAATTGAAGCGCTCCCAAAGGGCCTACACAAGCGGGCGGGCCGTCAGTGCTCAAGACACAACTTGCACCGCGAACAGCTCAAAAATTTTAGCTAAAACTGACGAAATGTGCGGTAAATGATTGTAAAAATACGTCAGACAAACATAAAATAGATACCAACAACATGTTCCAGAAGGAAGTAACGCGTTTCAACTTGTATTTTTATATAAATATTCACTAAAACCGAAAATTAACCTACTACTAAAACTAGCCTACAATTTGATTTTTGCCTCAGTGTGTAACAGTTCGTTTGATATGAAACTATCATTCTTTGCGTTATTATAATAAGCTTAGAGGATAGAAAAAAAAAGCTAGTGTAAGGGTCGTATTCCAGAACTCTACTCAATGCTCAAGTCAGGACTTGAGCAGACTTGAGTATGATTTCAAGTACTGGTAATACGACCCTAACGATTTTCAGTTCTTTAAATCTTACTCAGGTCCTGACATGAGCATTGAGTAGAGTTCTGGAATATGACACTAAGAGATTGTAACAATAATGACATTGACGTCTGACAGTATATTTTTCATGGCATTGACCACTAGCGCATTAGCTAAAAAAATACATAAAAATCCGATCCGTACCGTGGAATTCCGTTCCGGTTTACGTTTCATAGTATTAAAAATCCTTAACGAATTTCTAGAAATTGGAAGTTTAAAAAAAAAGTGTTTAATTCAGAATTTCTAGGTTTTGAGAGCTCTTTACTAAAAACCAACGAATAACCTGGTTAAATTTTCCATTTATTTTAATACCACCAACCGAACAAGTCTTTTATCCATTAAAACTTAAATCGAACAGTGCTGTTACTGTCAGCCACCTCGGTAAGATAATTTACAATACCAAAGAACTTTAAAGAAAGCCGTTTCGCAGAACGTTGATACAAAGGCCAGCGATATTACGAAGTGCGAATTAATGCGTATAAATCCGTCAAAACGTCGGTGTTGGCAAGAATTATGATTCGCGAACGTCTAGCAATCTTGGCCAATTACAGGCAACCAGCCTTGTCGGTGCTGGCGCACTGGCGTGACGTCATCGCACGATAGTCGACTTCCTCTTAGAGCACGTCAAACCCATGATTTACTTACATAATGTGTACCTAATGTTGAATAACTTGATGTAAGTTATGATAGCCTGCATAATATTCAATTAGTACAATAACATTACTTACAAGCCCGGAAATTTTCCTATAGCATATATCGATTTATAACATTGATTGACATCACACGAGTTAAATTTTTACAATTAAATGAGTTTCTTCAAATAATTTGAGTGTCGTACTACTTCACCAACAATTGTATCACTTATTATAAAGCGGAAGTCACCATTCAGCATTCCAAACCATTTCGTTTTAACTTTAATTAATTTCTTGCAATTAATACAGTGAAGCTTTCTAAAAAGTAATTAAAGTTGAGAAAATGTTAGCGGCGTACCGCAGGGACCTATGTTGGTCCCTTTTCCAAGTAGTAGTTAATCTCACCGTTATTTTAATGATGGGAACTTACTACGTTCGCTGATTAACGCTTTGCGGTCTCGATGCCGGATTCTGCTTAAACTTTAACTTAATTACACCATTTATAATTTAGTTATCATGTAAGTAAATGCAAAAGGATGCGTTAAAAAGAAATGGCCGTAATAGGTACTGTAATAAACATTTTGACGTTAAATACAGAAAGACAAAGACTTTAACGATCAGAACTTGACTTTACAATATCGTTTCAAGTTCTCGGAACGGCCTAAACTTCCAAGTTACTTACACAAAATTCCTACAAATTGTTCACTTTACCGATTCATCAAAGCATTTTGTTCACTAACGAAATTGACTACTTCACCAAATTACTGCATTCTACACGTAAACGTAGTAGGTTGATTCTATGCCCGTATATTGGCATGTCGAAATAGCCCTAAATGAACTTGGTACACCAGGCAAACTGACCCATTCACCTCGAACCGATGGCAATCGTAAATCGCATCTGAAAAATAACTCGATAACCCTGTGGCCTGCGTGCGTTCAGATAAAGAGAGACAAAGTCGCGGCCGTTCCCCCCGGCTATCAGCTGACGACATCGGCCACCGAGGGAAATTATCTTTCACGCCATATTTCGGTCGTTCACTGTTACTGCTTACACTTATTTTCGTTATAATTCGCTTTATTACTGTGTCTATCTCTTTTTCACGCCTCTTAACTATATAGCTGAGACCTATTTAAATGGTCAGACCGCACTTAAATCAAAGACTTACTCCATACAACACTACGTATACAATTTCATTGTGTTAAATAAAGTGTTGACAGGGTTTTCAAATGCGAGTATTAGCCACGTTATCTTTCTTTTATTTTGTTAACGTCGTTATCTTTGTTTTTTCTTTGATACATTCAATCGACTACAACGTCCGCTACGTTCACGTTACAATCGATTACTTTTGATTCACCTTTTCTTATACATGTATGTTACAGTTTATTGACATAATAAATCTTAGTAGCGGATGTATTGCGAACTACTTTAATCTAACATTACATTCAGTCCTCATCGTCGTCCAAATTACTCAATGTAATCCCATTAGTTTCAGTTCAAATGTACGTCATATTCAAACCCATGTTTAATTAAAGAACTTAATTCAGTATAACAGAGTCGTAATTTACAAAAACTTCCGGCCGTTCACTTCGCTCTGGGTGTACGACCTGTTCTGGTCTGACTCGACCATTCCTCGAAATCTTTACCGCCCGATTCAAGTAAACCGACGATAAAAACATTTTCTTAAAATTCACGATGGTCATTAATCAGATGGGCGCGTTGCATTAATATTTCCCATAATTCAGACACCTAACTTTTGCGATCTTTAAGAGTTATTTCGTCCATTAATTCTTACTTTATCTATTTGATCTACTACAGAAAATAAAAAAATGATCCCATCTCAATATTATGCTCTATACCTACCTTATGCACAATACCTACTTGCGATGCATCGCAGTGATTTAACCTTGGTACGCCCCACTTACATTGTTGACATTGATTGCTTCAACGAGCGACGAAGATTACTGCTGCAAATTATGCAACTAAAACAGCTTTGTCACTGAAGTTGGGAAGTTAGATTTTACAAAGAATATTTCAAAAATTCTCGTGAGTTTGGAATCGCCGCGTGCGCATATTCATCAGGTGATGCGCGAATATCGCGACCTACTTGCCGTCAGCCCTCCTCGCCGCTGTACAGGCTGCTAAAAATAGACCCGGTTGAGAAAGCAATGAGCATCGACGCACAACACTGATGATGTTTCGTTATAATAACGCAACTGTTGTCACTTTAAAATTTCTATTTCATTCATCTTCTCTATCTTCGATCTCCGTGGATCCACAATTATCCGTGTCTATATAAGAAACCTTGCAATTTAATTTCCTTGTTGCTCCCGTCCAAATTCGATGCTTTGTTATTATACATTTTCGTTTTGTTTAAAATGCTAAGGCATAACATTTGATTTCACCATGAGAAATATATTTTAAAGTAACTAAATTGTTGCTATTACATTTCTTTTTCGTATTTGATCAAGCTTGATTGATGTTATTCACACTTGTGTGGTTTATTTCATATACAGACCTTCATTTATTAATGTGCAATTCAACTAATCAAAAGTAGATTGGGTCCTTCGTTCTTCATTTGAAAATTACTAATGTGTTTGTTATTGGCACTGTAATTACGCATAGTTTAGAATGCTTAAATGAAAAGTATTAATTAATTGGGGGTAAACAAAGCACTACAAAGACTCCTCTTATTATTACTGTAACTGTAATTAACTTGTGAGATAAACTTTTTTATAATTCCATCAGTTCTGTATTGCTGAGAATTGTATTTTACGTTCCTTTGTTATCCACTTCTACATGTTGATCAGTTTCGATAGCGTCAACACATTTTCTCGAAAATGAACACAGCTGTTTATAAAAACTAACTCCACTGATATCCATTTTTTGTGGTCTTGTTTAATAGCTAACAGATTGTGGAGACTATTGAGATTTTTAAATGGCTGGTGACCCGCTCGCGAGTGATGTCGAAATTTCTCAAGTGGTCTGTGCTAGTCCGTAGTTCACGATTTAAAAACCCGTCCCGCAGACCTTGAAGCATTTGGCCATTTGCCACGCCCTTTAAGTCGCATACTGGAAAACATTTAGCCGACGTCTTAGGTCAAATTAATTTCCTAATTAGAAAGTCAATAACGTATTTTCAAGTTCAATTTTCTTTGAAACATCGAATTCAGCTAAAGTTCTCCAATAAAGATTAATCACATGTTCGAATTACCACTTGATTGAAGAACAATAAAATTTCCACCGCGCTTCCGCATACGTAACCTCTTTTATCGAAATAGTGGCATTGAAGTATCTACTTTAAACAGGGTTCAATTCTTGTCTTATTTTGACTTGCTAGTATATTACGCCTGGTCAAATTTATGGTGTTGAATAAATAGAAGATTTTTAAAGAAAACACTGTCTGGAACAACAGTTTACGAACAGGGCAGAAGCACCGACCGAGACGTGAGCTAACGGTAAATTGTTCGAGCCACGTTCAGCTCGCCGCACGTAAGAAATCTATTTTTTTTTGCACTGAATATTTAGTAAATAGGTTTTATGAAGCGACACCGCAATCCGGTTTTCGTCCACGTATGCGATCGTAGGAGTCTCGGCATTTACCTCGCAAGTCGGAGGGTCGACGCCAACTCAGGCACGACGACGACGTAGCGCGAGCAGTTCCAATGCACTGTCACAACACTTCACCACCTCCATGCACGGCAGTAGCGCTTCGGTGGAGCGTATCGTCCAGTATTTGTATAAAGGTCTGAGTTTTTATTTTGAGTAATTATACGAATTAAGAGACGGCTAGATAGCGCGACAGAGCAGCAACACAACTGCTCTATAACGAGGCTAGAAGCAGACTGGCGTGCGGAGCAGGCCCGGGCGGGTGGAAGGGGGCGAAGTCTCGCTCGCGCTCACGGCTTTTGCAATCACGCCGGAGTTAGGTCGCGGAGCAGGCCGATGGGCTCCGACCGCGACCGAGCGCCTGCTAAATCCCGCTATCACCACCACGGCACTGCACGCACTCCACTAAGGTACCAACCAACCGGAGACTTTACACGTGTTAAGGGATTTAATCTTGTTTTGATATCTCTATCAAAGTATACTAAAATTCTTTAAAATAATTTACGATTTTTGCTTTAAACGTGGCACGATTTTCATAAATATAAACAATTTAGGTCACTTCTTAACTTTTCAGTAAATCCTTTCTTTCCTAATAGAAGCATCATTTTATCGACAGCAAAAAACATAACAGTATTATAAATGTACGATGATGATAAATCGAGATGTTGCGGAAAGCCTGCACGTGGGTAAGTGATGGCAATTTCTCCTCGCTTCACGGTCGAGTCGCGTTCCGTATGATATGAAGCAATGCCGCTTTCATTGCCTCTTAATGTTTTTCAATGGCATTTTTGAAGGGTTCTTAGAATCTCATCGTCTATGACCTAACGCTGATTATATTATATTATACGAGTCGTTTATTGTTAAGTCCACGTCGTGTGACTGTAATATCAATTGAACAATTTTATAGGAACCGCCTGACTCGTCCTATATTTTTTTATGATACCAAATGACGGGACGAACAAGTCGTGTGGTAAGCGATTCCCGATGCCCATAACAGTTGCAGTGCCATTCAGAGCTTTGCAACCACAAAGATTTGAGGTGCACGACCGTCACCATGAGACATAAGTTGACAAGTCCCATGTGCTTGTAATTTCATCAGCTTACCCTTTAAAGGTGGCAAGTACTTACTCCCTGGACGAACTCTTTCACAAGGCTCTCTACATTACCTCACGTGCTTAATTTAATTGTTTTACATTTTTATTAGTTCTATACACGATACGTGTCTCTATCGGATCAATTAGTGCTAGAGTTCAATAATAAATCTGTTTACGTCGTTGTATCAGGTCATATTTTACGGGGTCTACCTAGCCTAAATGTTATAGTCTTTTTTCGTGAACCCTTGCGTAAAGATCAGTCGTGAGTATCTTTTGTTTTGTAGAAGTACAAAAAAAGATACTCACGACTGGTGATAAAAATGTATGAAAAAAGTTCTCGTGGAGAAAATGTAGTTCCCTTGACTTTCCTCATAAAGTTGCAACTTTCCGAGTTATTGTGCTCGCGCAATTCACATCCCACGCGTGGGAAACTATTATTGAAATGTTCTTGTGCTTTGTACAAATTATTACGCTTTTGTCAGGTTTATAGTTTATTTATTTTATTTAACTTTAACCTTAATTAAATAGGAATAGGAATATTATAAATAGATTAATTTTGATACATACAGTAAACGTTATACTTATCATAATAAAACTATTAATTCATTCTTTTTTTTTATTTTTTTTATTATAGCTTAAGTGTGGCTCCTTATGAAAGAGTTCATCTAGGGAAGTACGGTATTGTGAGCATTACTGCGTTCCAGTTTGAAAGGGTAAGGGTGCTGGTAAAATTACAGGCACATGGGCCTTGTCAATTTATGTCTCAAGGTGAAGAGTGCACTGGCAGTGCCCCTCAGATCTTTGCGATTCAAAACTCTGAATGACATTCCAACTGCTATGGAGACGACAGTGACACTCCTTCGCTTCCCGCCAAGCGCACAACTTGTTCGTCACGTAACTTTGGGTCGTATTCCAGAACTGTACTCAATTTTTTTTTTAATTTATACATGACAGGCAAATGACTCCACTCCACCTGATGTTAAGTGGAAAGTGGTATCCAAACGCGAAGGAACCTAGTGCAGCGATGAAACCCTCACTGCACTAGCCACCTCCACCCTGCCTGCCTACAATATGCCTCTTCACGCCTCGCTTGAAGGACCCCATATCATAAGAGGGAGGGAAGACATGTGCCGGAAGGGAGTTCTATTTGTCAACCGTGCGGCAGAGAAAGGAGCCACCGAACCTTTTAGTACGCGATGGAATGCGGCAGGTAGTGAAACGGTGACTACGAAGGCCAGCACGTGTGCTTCTGAGCAGGAACGGGGAAGGGGGGATGAGGTTGAACAGCTCTTCAGAGCACTCACAATGGTACATGCGGTAAAAGGCGCTAAGCGATGCAACATCTCTACGCAGTTGCAGAGGTTCAAGGCGTGATGAGACCAATGCTCAAGTCAGGATTGAGCAGACTTGAGTATGATTTCAAGCACTGGAAATACCATCCTAATGGCAAGGACTTGAGTATGATTTTCAGTGCTTTAAATCATACTCAAGTCCTGACTTGAGCATTGAGTAGAGTTCTAGAATACGACCCTTAGTATCATAAAAAAAAAACAAAAAATCTGTGTCCTAAATGAGTTTAATAGTTTTATAACATGAAATCGGTTCATAAATCGAACAGTTTACTAAGTATGCAATCTCGAAATTGATCACTGGATAATTAAATATCATTCAATCCAAATAAAAAATTTAATGTAGTAACAATTATTGTCGCGTAAAAAAAATCAACATGATTATTACACTAGTAAGAACCATTTGAACAAATGTTAACAACGCGTGAAATCGAGTTCTAAGTACAACTTGATTAACCGCGTATTCGCGTAGTACGACATGCGTCGCGGCTCCCCTGTGTGGTAGAGCGCTGCCATGCGCCGCAATGTGACAAAAGACTCGATCACTGGCGTGAAACTTGGCCGTTGTACTGCTGCGCTCTTTTTTATGGCTGCAGTAGATTATTTTATGACACTTTGACACACAGAAACTGCCACGCAGAGGTCCCAGGTTCGATTCCCGGGCCAGGAGAAATATTTGTATGGCCTACATTTATTTCTCTCGTGAGTTTGGATGTATGGTTGTCTATGTGTGTGTCCATGGCACTCGCGACACAGGGTTTCCCTAGTGCGGGGATATATTGTGTGTGTGTGTTATTATTATTATTCTTATTATTATTATTATTACTTCTATTATTTATTATTTAATTTTCTGTTTTAGTATAAGTAGAAGTACTGCTACGTTACCTATATCTGCCGTCGAACAGTAATGTCAGCGTTACTATGTTCCGGTTTTGAAGGGACTTGTCAACTTAAGTCTCTGGCTGACGAGCGCAGAGGCAGTGCCCCTCAGATCTTTGCAATTTAAAGTTGTAAGTGGCACTGCAACTGGTATGGATAGACGTGTACCTTACTATCAGGCGTACGACTTGTTCGTCCCGTCAAATAAGTAAATAAATGTATAATAAGTATGTTTATATTATGTTATTTACATATACCATACAAAATATCAATTAGCTTTCTTGTATATTGTTTTAGTATAGTTGGCCCAATGGTTGACTGGTAGAGAATGTCTTATGGCATTAAGTCCACCATTTGTACTTCAGTGTGTTGTATAATAAAGTTTAAACAATTAAAATAAAATGTGCTATGCGTCTTCCTATGTCTGGTTAGTTAGTACATATCCAATCAAAAACCGCAATGAAAATTGTAATATTCATTCCGCCTAGTAGCAGCATAAAACATGATAATAAAATAATGAATCACTTACTTCTATAAATAGAACAAGACGCGAGAGCTCGTGCAGTCTGAAATAGCCTCAATCGATACTGCCTAACAGCGCCCGTTTATGCCGATTTTCCGAGATGGGTAAAATAAGGTTATTTTTAACCCCCGACGCAAGAGGGGGGTTATAGTTTGAAGCCTTTCTCTTTGTGTCTGTCTGCAACATCGTAGCTCATTTTAATCAAGTTCTTTATTGACTCAAATTATAATATCAAAAAGTTTATGATTTTTTTTCTATTTTATAGTGGCGACGTAAAAAAGGTGCGTTTAATGTAGTTTCGAAAAGAGAGGACCTGGTTTTATTACTATCGTTCTAATCTCTAGAGATTATAAGACAAAAAAATCTGTTGGTCTAGTGGATTTTACCTACTTCTGCCACCAAGCAGTAATGTGAGGTATACTGCGTACCAGTTTTAAAGGTTAAGATCTTACCTGTGATTTATGGTATAGGAAAGCCAATATGATGCATACACAACAACAGCAATTATTAAATTACGGTTACAAAGTTCAGACCACACGTTCCACTTTGAGCGGGACCGTCCCGCTTTTTAGCTTCTTTTTATAACCTCCCTGTCCGTAACAGTGGCAGTGCCACTCAGAGCTTACGCAAAAATCTGAGGAACACTGCCACTGCGCCTGTCACCCTGAGATATAAGTTGACAAGTCCCATGTACTAAACTAGAACGCAGTAATGCTCACATTATACTGCTTGGCGGCAGAAATAAGATGGCGGTACTTCCCTGAACTAACTCTTTCACAAGAAGCTCTACTTTAGTTATGCAAAACTGTATTCTTATTCTCGAAACTGAAAACCTCAATTCGTGCCTCGAAAATGCCAAAAGAATCCTGGGACTCGCGAAATAGCGAAACCGGGATTCCCAGGATAAAAACTTTAGTTCGCACGCTGCTCACTTACCGAATCTCGGTGCTTTTGTGCGTGTGCGCTGACGTAGTAGTTCCGCCGTTGCTACGACCGCGCCGGGGCGTTCGACAATCGGCACAGAGCGCGCGTCGCCGCCGGTGACGCAATTCGTGAAAGCTGATAGCACCGGAATTGGGTTAGCCCCTTCTCACTGCGCTAACACGTTGCCGACCGACATGCTCCGGAGTGCTTGATGAATAAGATAGATCGATGACTGGTTTTCGTTAATGAGTAGATAGTACCTTTTTTCTATTGAGATATGATTTGCTTTCCAGTCCAGTTTTATTTTGTCGAGTTTCAAAGCTAAAAATAACCTATAAAATAAAAAGAAA